CTTTCGTTTATTCAGTTCCATCTGCTGATAGGTCCTTAATTTTTTCATTAATGTCCTTAATTTCTATGTACAGAAATGTGTACGAACTCTGTAATAAAATTGCTACTCTAGCCATGCTGCCCATGCACAAGAGAGGGAATAAGAAACACATAAATTACAAATAAAATAAAATCTGCACAATTTGGCCCATGAATATCTAAATAGATAAAAATCATTGAGTACCGATAGTTCAGCCTAGATTTGCATACCGATGAACAGGATTTCTGCATGAGCTTTTATGCTTTTTCACGTGTGTCACATTACTATGAGTCATTCCTTTACAAAATTCTCCATAAAAAATTCCCTTCCGTTTGACAAATAGTTCTTATAAACTACGCTGTTATAGGATTCTCCACTGTGTATCTTAAATTACAGTTGAATGTGAAGAATCTGAAGAACTAGTATGCAAATAATCGGAGTTCGTGGTGTAGAAAACAAGTCAGAAGGGTGAAATAACCCTTTATTATTCCAACTAAAGTTTAACAGAACTCTGTCTTTGGAGTTTTACAATAAAGCCGACACTCAGGCTTGAACTTAAGAAACTAAGAATTAACTAATCTTAACTAAAAAGGTATAGTTGAAGCTATACCTTTTTAGGTAGAGTTGGCCCCTTAATGCTAAATGACTGTGAAGCTATCAATGGCCTAAAGTACGGCTGAGCATAATAATAGCTTAAGAGAGAGTAGCCTAAAAAGGCGGACCCGTGCTAACCAGAATCTGTGGTTCTCTCTAATTAAGACAGTAGAACTTCGCGGTTAAATACCACTTTTCCTCAATTTACATTCAGATGGGATTCTAAAACTACATTCTGGCCGGAAGTGGTAAGTTGAAATTAAGAAGTGATAGGAAAGGAAGTTTAACTCAAAATTTAACTGTTAATAAAATTAGCATAATCCTTACACTGTAATTGACTAAATGAACATCAAACTATCACTTTTGGTATAGAAGGTGATCGGTCACCAGTAACTACCATATCTTCCATATGCCGCTTTTGTCATCAACTAGAAATGAAGTGATAGCTATATGAATAATGACAAACATAATTTATCACTAAAATTTCATGAAACATCTGGGAACCTCAAAGAGATACTGAAATGGTGTCTAATGCCTAGAGCATAATATTTCTTGATGTAATTTCTCTGCACCATGTTGTTAATGCAAAATTTTAACCACTGTTTTGTGGCCTGTATGGGATAGTATGGCGATAAATGCATTCTTATTGCTTCCTGTAACACTGAATTTGGGACTGAATCTGAAGCAAGCACCGTATGAATTTTTCTGACTGTGGTGTATTTCTGGCAGCAAGAAACTTAAATTCTGTTGATCTGAAAGTCATCTTGAAAGGTTGTTGGGAGGGAAAGAAGAGTATGAGGACCTTGAATTTTTACATTATCTAGTGCTGTTTATTAAAAACCTCTTGGTATTCTGCTTTTGTTACACTGATCTAAAAATTTGAATGTCATCGTTAGCTTCTTCTGTAATGAATGCAATGGAAGAATGTTTATTGTTCTGCATGCTCATACAAGACTTCTTGCTGCTTTTATGCAGAATTTGTTAGCTCAGTGGCAATGTTTATTGCTGCAGTCAAATGTTCTCCTAATCTCCTAGATTAGCTGAGTGCGACTTTTATCTTTTTTTATTAAAACCAAAAGGACCACCCAAAGAAAACTTTTTCACACCATAGCAAAAAATATCTGAGAGTTTTAAGGCATGTATTTACTAATATGATCCAAAAGGGCCTCTATTGCTGGCATTCAGTACCTTCTAAATATGTGACTGAAATTTATAAATGTTGCAGTGATTTATATTTAAAGAGATGTGCACTTATATTTTGTGAATAAGTACTTTATTTCATGAAAATGTTTTCATTGTTATATGTCTTAACTTTCATTCTGTTTGAAATGAACTCATATTCTCACATGTATAAGCCACAGCCTTATTTTTTACCTCTAACTTAAAAAAAAAAAAAAAAAAAATCTCGAGTATAATTCAGGGATAACTTACTTACCATTTACAATAATTTTTTTCATTTTGGAACCATTGCTACACATAAAGTATGCTCACATTCCTGTACTTGTTTGAAAATCATGACCTATTTCCATCTGACTAACTTCTTCTCATATGTTATCAATAGTTCCAGCATAACCAATATTTCTTTTCACATTCAAGTATGTTAAAACATTATCTTCCAACTGCAGATACTTAATTGCTTTTCCACGAAACTCCTTCCACTTGCTGCTTGTTCCTTGAAGTTCATTCTTCTTTTTTTCCACTGTAGTATATTGGGTTCATCCATGTCAAAATGATGTGCTGCAGTGTGGTTCCCATTTTCCTATGAGAATTGAATAACTTGCAGCTTAAAATGTGCATCATTTGCTCAACATTTTCCTTCAAATGACCTGCAACCACAACTAAACTAGTACAAGTGTATGTAATGTTCACCCATCAACAATGGATTTTACAACCAATTGTGAAATATGCGCTGCTGAGTTGCTGTATATTTGTATGTGCCTATTTTTAATTATTTGTATAAATTAAGTCACACTCCTGACTTTTATCTGCTTTTCCGTGACTAAAAAGATCAGTTTACACATGGAAGAATGCAGAACTATTTCTTGTTTGAAGTGCCAAAAAATGGTGCCATGAGATTCTGTAGTTGCATGTCCTACATTCGTATTTTTGCTTATCTGCATCCCCACCAAAAACTCAAGAAGAAGTATTCCTGAGGCAATGGATTATGTGGCCAAAATAGTCACATGGCAACCTGCAGTGTTGCCAAAAAGTAGTTATGTAGTTAGTGTTCCAGGTATGCCCATAGCACATATCTCTGTTTTGGTCAGTGCCCAATGCTAAGCTTATGTGCCTTGTGGAATTTGTGCAGTTCTGTGAATTCTTTTTAGTGGAAACAGATCGCTGTGTACATGCGGAGAATAACAAAGGAAAAAAAAAATTACTGAAAGATTTTTCAGAACAGGTAAGTATTTTATTTTTGATATTTCTTGATTTTAAAATTTTATTGATTCATTGCTTATTTATGAAAAACAGTGTGCCACCATTTCGAAAATAGTGGTACACTATATGATTATCCACACAACCTTGGAAAGAATCATTAGGCAAAGTGCTATGTCACCAAAGTATACAACCCAGAATTTTACAAAGAGGTATTTTTTGGAATTTTACAAAATATAGCAACCCACTAATAGTTGCATGCATATTATGCCAGGGCATAATGCATGCGGTTTTGAAATCTGAGTTTCATGTTTGTGGTTTCTGCTTCTTGTGGTATGTGGAGATTTTTGTAACAACTTGTAATGCCACTGTGAAATTTGAATGCTAATGAAAAAGGCTAGCTGAATGGTTAACTTTTATTTATCTTATCTTTATTTAGCAACATTATTTTAGGAATCTTGCAACTTGAAAGCAGTTTATGAACTCTTTATAGGTGACTGCGATGATAGCTTTTTCCGAATAAGTGCAATTCTCTGATTTTTCTTTTTTTTTAAATTTGTGCAGGTCTTTCACTTTTTTTTTTTTTTTTTTTTTTTTAAGTTAAAACGGGTTGATGTATATACAGAAAGCCTGCCAGCTTCCTCTGCAATGCCGAGAATTATGTAATCCTCTGATGTTATATTGAGTTAAAACAGGTCAATGTGTACATAGAGAGTACTACCAAGTTGCTCTGCGAAGCCAAGAATTATGCATATATGAGAAAGTGTAAACACTTCATAATAAAAAAGTGTTTTATTATGAATGTTGCATTTTTTAGTGTACTTAATTTGTTGATGTATTATAAATTTTAGGTGCTTCATTATGGGTTTTTCTTACATTCTTAATTATGTGAATTTGTTGCTATTTTATTTAATATTCAGTGTCCCATAATTTTTTTAAATGGCTACTAGTTTTTGCATGTTAGTTTGGTAAAAAATTAGTTGCCAATGATTGATGACTTTAATAAATAATGGACAAATAATCAGACATATTTAATGGACAAATAATGAGAGAATGCTAAAATGGCTCTTGCATTTAGTGCGTTAACTTAAAAAAAAAGTTTTGAATCTCACCAAGCAGTGCTTTGTTGGAGAAAGAGTCCTGTTTCTCTGGAAGGTTAATCAAAACAAAACTTCCTGCACAGTTGGCCTAGATTACTCGATTGTCTCAGTCTTTTCCCAACGCCTAAGTTTTCGAGTTAAAACTTCTGATGGATTTGAAGTTCCTAATAATGCCTAGAAATTTAGTTAATATTTAATTCCTTTAAAGTATTTTTTCCTTAGTTAATTATTTGTTAACTCTAAAGTTAAAAAGTTTGTTGTTATTTAGTATATCTCTTGTTTCTATGGTGTATCATGTATTTATCTTTACTAGAACAACATCTTTACTAGAACAACTCAATCCTTTAATTAACTAAAAACCTATTATGTATATTTAAAAAATTTGATGCACTATAGCAAGTGCTTACATATATTTGAAAAATATGTGAAATATTTAATGCATAAACACATATTTAAACATAATAAAAAAAGTGCAAGAGAAAATATAGTTTATCCTGCGACTAAGCAACATAGTAAAATATGATATATTATTGTTTAATTATCCTGACTAATACATGGGATGATTTTTTAGTATTTTTTGAGCTGTCATTAATCATTATATTTATATTTTTAAAATTTATTTATGATGAAATTGATTGATTTATAATAAATTGATTTATTTATTTTCCCCAGTAATTAAAGGTTTATTATTATTATATTTAGTTCATCTGTCACTGTATTTATAACATTAAAGGAAAAATATTCAGGGTGATTATTTATTATACCTTACTATTTTTTACATATCAGTTAATCTGAACCTGAAGCTAAACTGATAATTTGAACATAAGAAGGTAGAATGTAAATTGTTTTATTCTTGATCATTTCATGATATTAAATTTTTTTATAGTTTTATGAAAATTTTATCATTTTTAGATATATCTGGTTCTTATCCTCTTGCTTATGACCCTAAAGAAGTTGAAAAAGGATGGTATGAGTGGTGGGAACAAAATGATTTTTTTCATTCTGAGTCAATTCCAAAATATCAAAAAAAGGTACTGAAACACAACATGATTTTTAACACATTTGTTTATATTTTTATGACAAACAATTTAAAACTAAGAATCCTGTGTTGTAGTTTTGTATATTTGTAATGCTATTGATACTGTTTATTTTATATAAAAGGATGAATACCCCATATTTTCCTTTGTGTTGCCCCCTCCAAATGTGACTGGGAATTTACACATTGGTCATACTTTAACTGCCACTATTCAAGATTGTATTGCAAGATGGTAACTATAATTTTCTCCATTGAATTTATATGTGTAAAACTATTAAAAATAATTTGCATAATAACTATAATTTTATTAAAAGTATTGAAATATGTTAAATCTGAATTAGGTATCGAATGAAAGGTTACAAAGTGCACTGGATACCTGGCTATGATCATGGTGGAATTGCCACTCAGAGAATAGTTGAAAAAAAGATTTTGAAAGAAAAGAAGCTAACAAAACAAGAAATTGGTAAAGAAGACTTTATTGAAGAGCTTAATGAATGGAAAACTATGTAATTATAAATGTTTTTTTTTTTTTTTTTACTCTACTGCATTATAATATTTCTAACATGTGTGTAATGAGTTTAGTTTCAAAGCTTATAATAATCCTTGACATTCAACCTAGATAAACTGTGATTTTGTTTAGTAAACAGTGCATACATGGCAGTTAACTTTCTGTTAGGATCATTGCTGCAGATTGTTAAACTTTTCACTTGTGTGTATTCTTTGAAAAATATGAAGAAAGTCACTGAAATATTGTATTACATTAAAAAAAAGTTTTGGATAAATTTATATTTCTTTGTTGGTTTTCTAAGTAAATATTGAATATTTGAATAAGTATTGTGATAATAATGATAAACCATAATATTTTGGTAGGAACTGAAAATGTATTAAAAATAATTGTAATCTGACTTTATGTAATATTTTAGGCTTGATGAATGATGAGATTCATATTCAGTTTTCTAATTTAAATTATTTTTCCATCAAGTTTTCTAATTTTAATTATTTTTCATGTATACTTTTATTTTATACAGTTTCCTGATTTTCAACCCCTGAGTCCAATGAAATCCTCACAAACTACATCACTAGTTTATCTTAGATTCATGAGGAATGTGGAATATATCCAGTTCTTTTAACATCATATTTATCATTAAAATTTTATATCTAATTCATTCATTCTGTGATTAATTTATGGAGACTGTTAGCTGCTTAAGGATTTTAAATTGGATTGGAAGTTATATTTTTAGAATGTATAGCAGTTCAATAATCTATACCTGCTGCATAGATTTCAATGTAAATACATGTGAGGGCTGATAATAAATAGAGAATGTCTATAGGAGTCTGTAATATCAGATGTTATTATTTAATTATATGCCAGTGCCCACCAGTAGCCATGAATAAACTAGTTTAATGTCTTCAAGTAAAAAAAAAAAAAAAAAAAAAAAAAAATGTTATTGTTTGACTAAATTCTTTAATTTTTAAAAGATTCTTTTAAAAGCTAAAAACTACATCATAAATTCTAAAATATTCATTCTCCCAGGTTAATCAAAAGTATTTGAGATTTTTGTATGCACTTGAAAAATTATTTAAAAAATGTTTAATGCTGAGCAATAATTTTGCATATTTTAATATAATCTAAATAGCAATATTTATTTAAAGTGATTTTCTGGGTCAAAGGACAGAGAGGGATAGGATTTCACAATTTTTTCTGTATATAGAAGGAATATTGATCAATTCCGTATAAAAAGTTGTCCATGAATGACATCATGTCTTTGACAGATAGCCTTTGTATGCTTTGCCTTAAAAAAAAAAAAATCTAATTTTACTTAATCCAATGTTTTCTTCATAAAAAATAACTTTTAGTTATCTTATTAAAATTCCCTCAGAAACTTATTATGCAAGAAGCATGGTTGTTTTAGAAAAATATAAAAAAATTTCTTTCTGTAATATTTGCCCCCTCTCTCTTTGCCATTGCATACCTTGATGAAATGCAGTTTAAACCCTTGTAAAATATCTTTAATAGTATACATGAAATCATTCCTTTTGAAAACAATATTTTATTTAATTTTTTTCCATCAAAAAGTTTTGTTGCATGCATACAGGTTCATAATAGATTGAATGCATGCAGAACCAATGAAAGCTAGATAAATTTGTTTTACCAAAAGAAACTCTTCACATTTCTGGAATTTTCTACAAAAATACTCATATAGTTCTTCCCATTATCACAGTGTACAATTAAACAGTGTACTTCAAACAGTGTATCACAGTGTACTTCAAACTACTAAAAATGTTAAATAAAACACAATGCAAAGCACATCTAAAAAGTAAAGCTAACATGTATATCACAATACTCCAAATTCAGCTCTAAACAAGCAGCTGCTACTCAGAAACTGATGCTGTCTCCAATCTTTTATAATTTTCCTCTGGTTGCCTTTATTACTTCTTGAAATTACTCAAAAGCATATGACAGCTGGATACAGTTACAGCTACATACAGAATCAATTCCAGTTATTCAATTGCAGTACCCATTATGGTGATACTAGGACCGGACCAAAATGTCGCCATATGGTCAGCAAGCTTGTTGACTTTTGGCGTTTTCTCGCTATTTGGCGACAAAAATTAATATGTATTTTTAGTCATTGGTATATAAGAAAGGGAAGAAATTCAATATTAGGCACTAGAAACTATTGAGTGGAAATAAAAATGTAATACTCCCAAAACTGAAAGCATTATATTAATACAACATTATACTGAGGTTGGACAAAAATATGGAAACACCGAAATAAAAACATATTGCGGTGTGTAATATGATGTAAGAAAACTGATGACATTCAGCTTGCAGACTTTTCTGAATGGATGAATAGAGGTCTTGTATGCTTTGCAAGGGAATCTTGTACCATTCTTTCTGTAAAACATTGGCAAGTTCAGTTAACGATGATGTCAGATGACAGCGCTTATACAGATTTATCTCCTTATCTCCAAAATAGCGCACAAAGACTCAAATAATATTGATATCTGGTGAATGTGGTGGCCATGATAGATGTGAAAGTTCAACCTCATGCTCATAAAAAGACTCCTGGATAATGTGAGGTGAGTGAACAGGAGCTCTGTGATCTTGGAATATGGCATCACCACTGGGTAACAAAATTTAAAACATGGGTTGGATGCGATCAGCCAAAATGGTCACAGAATCCTTGGAAGTAATGTGACCGTGCACAGTAATGATGGATCCCATGGAATATCATGATATAGCTGGCCAATCCATGATCAAAACCCCTGCCATATTTCATTCTCATCAGCAAACAGTCTCTTATCATACGCTAGGGACAGTGTTCACCAGATGTAAATTCATGCCCAAATTGGAAATAGTGGGAAGCAAAACTCAAATGACAGTCTTCCATTGCTCTACAGTCCAGGTTTTATGACTTCGTCAGCACTTTCTCCTCTTACAGGCATTTTGATTTCTGATGAGTGGCTTTTGAATTGCAGCTTACCCAAAAATATCCTATTTGTGGAGCTCCTTTCTTATGATTTTGGTGCTGACAGGGTTTGGGAGTGCAGCATTCAGTTCAGCAGTCACTTTTGTAGCTGTAGTCCACTTATATTTCATCACAATCCTCTTCAATGATTAAGACATGCGATTTTTGTGTTTTTCCTGTATGAGTTATAAATCTTAGATAGTGTGCCTCTTGAAACACCAAACACTTCAGCTATCTTGGTTACGAAAGCACCCACCATACGAGCCCCAGCAATTTGCCTACATTAGAATTCATTTAGCTTTGATAGCATTCACATCTGTACAGAACACTGTTTTGATAATGAATGACGCAACATATTGTGGATGTTGTGCAAGTGGTATTAGTGAGCAAACACATCAGTGCCACCAACAGCTTTTGCAAGAATAAACCATTTAGTTCAAACATGCATTTTATGAGGTGCTTCCATATTTTGTCTCTCATCTGTACCTTGGTGTTATATTTACGGTGTGTTGATGCATTTGCTTAGCTTATCGTAGAAGCAGATGTTTAGCTTTTAGTGTGAAAAATATTCAGTTGAAAAATATTACTAAACACTTCTGATTAACTTTTTCAAGTTATAAAATTAAAAACAAATTCTGTGTCTAAATATTTTCTTCCTAAAAATCTATTGTCTAATAAATATTTCTTTGCTTTTAATTGGAATTATTTTTACATGTGACATAATTTATTGTAAATATGTATAACTAATTAAATCAGTCACTTATCAAGAACTATAAAGTTTTTCAAGAATAATAATTTGTTAATTTTAAATATTTGTTTATTTTTTGATAAATGATTCATAAAATAAAGTGGATGCACTTCATGCTTTAAATAATTTAAAATTTTTATATATTATTTTAGTACTCAGAAAAATATGAAATCCAGTTAAAAAAATTGGGATCTTCGTTAGATTTCCGTACATCATGCTTTACTATGGATGAGGTAAGCTGCCTTTTTTCTTTTTAATCTAAAATTTATCTCCGATTTTAGGAAGTTTTAATTTTTGTTTTATTAAAAATAAATTTCTTTAAACACCTCTTTCCAACATGAGAAGAAAATTGAGGATTTCTTATATCTTAAGTATCATTTAATCACTTTAAAAATTGGCTAAATATGTTATTTGTATGTGCTCTTTTTAAATTTATAAAAAATTCTTTGAGATATATTGAAATTGGAAAGAAACTATTGTCAAACTTTGAAAAAATCAAACTCAAACACCCTATATATATATACATATAAAAGGGGCAGGGTAGAAAATTTAAATTAATCAAACTTTCAGCAAATTGGAAATTATGCCTAAAAATGTCAAAGATTCTATATTCTATACTTACATATATAGCAAAATATAAATATCTATTGTGCAAGATAAAAATTATTTTTTATATTATTAATGAAAATTATTTCAGTATGTAAAGATTTTTGACACATAAATTTAAAAAAATTTGCTTTAGCTGCATGCTAATGAAAAAATTGTTGATGCTATTTCCCTGAATACCTAAGGGCATTTTTGTGGTGACCCCTTTCTTTGATTCCCTAAGCAAGTGCATATATTGTGTAATGGTTAACTCAGCCTCATGTGCATTTATGTATATTCAGACTAGATGTAACAATTTTCCACAGGTAACACATTTTATAAAGTATTTGTTTATAATAACAATAAAAGCTAGTGCCAGTTTAACATTCAAATGAAACAGCTATATGACGTATACGATATATAAGTATGTGATATACATTATTTATATTTTAACTCCATCCAAAAGTGATGTCATTTCTTTTCCAATACTTTCGTTGAAAGGCGATTGTTTCTCAATCTGTGGTCCTCGGACTACAAGTAGTCCTTTTAAATTTCCAAAAAAGATTTTCAAAAATAAATTTCAAACTAACGTTATATACCACTGTATAACTAAAAATCTGAGATTCAGGAAACTACACATGGCAGTCTTAGACTCTTTAATATACCGGACTGTTGCAGAAAGTTGCAATTTTCCGGTTCTTGAAAAAAAGTCTGAAGGCACATGACGTATAAAATTCGGAACGTGGGAAAATCTCTGAAGAGAAATTGGAGGAAGCTGGAGAAGTAGGGGCCGCAAACCTTGCAGGGTGGAGCAAAGCGATACATTCTGAAAAAGTCACCACAAAGTGGTGCCAGCTATCGATGCTAGATTTAACTAGATCAGTCATCTTGCATAAGGAGATGTCTTGCATAAGATCCATGCCGTCTAGAAGTTCAGCTAAGCACAGTGCAAGCTTAAGTTTTTCCGCTGCAGTCTTCTTATTCTTGATTTGCTCAATCAAATGTAAGTAATCTGTTGATAACACCTTTAATTTTGTCCATTTCTGAGAATTCAGAAGAATCATTCGGCAAAATAGTCACAGGAGCATCAACTTTCTGTGTTGAACCAGCTTTGTTATAGTCCTTGGGCGGCATTCCGTTCAGCAGTAATAAGTTTATGAATTTTAGGATAAAACTCACAACCTTTAAATGAGGCCATGTGTTTTTTCCACATTGGACACAAGTTAGTTTATCATCCAGTTGGTTTATCATTTATATCAGGCACATTATTACAGAATAACTTCCCATGTCCATATCGCTGACATCTGAAGTTTAGATTAGATAGTGTTTAGATTGCTCCTATATCTACGAAACTTGACCCAGAGATCGAGTAGTGTTTTCTTCCTGTGTAAATGATCTTACCTTCATTTTTGCTCTTGAAAGAAGCAAAGAAAACTGGGAGTTCTGGTGAACTGCGATACACTGATAACAGGAAACCCATCTTTGTTTAGCTCCACCTTGATGTCATCCACAGGTGAATCATCCAACAAACCACGAATCACTAATTTGAGTGGAGTAGCTTTCTTTGGTCGGAATGTGCTGAGCTGCACCTCATATTTCATTAGAACGGCAAGGGCTCTATCTCTATGATGTGAAGAATTGAAAATTAAGGTTATTTTATCCCTAGTCAGAGCTCCTACATAATTCTTTACACTGCTTTTGGCGAAAAGACCTCCTAAATTGCTCCATTTCACCTCCGGTCTTGGGCAGAAAATCGGGGAAGTTTTTTGTTCCTGAGTTCAGTCTTAGGCTCCGGAGCGGGTGTGAGATTTTTGTCATCCTTTTCCTTATTAACAGCACAGTCCATGGGCTTGGTGACAAAGGCCACTGCGCTAGAGCCCTTACCCAGATTGATAAATATACGATGCCTAACGTAAATAGCATTCTGAGGGTGTAAATAGAATTTTGGGGAAAAAAAAAGTAATTCCAGTGTCACGAGGAGTAGGGCGAATCACTCTGCTTCCTGGTAGGGAAAGGAAATTTCATTAGTGGGAGGAGCAAAACGACTTCGAGCAAAGTAGTAATGAAATGTAAAAGTATTGAATCTGAAAGCATTGGGAAGAGCGAGACTCATTCTCGTCTTAATGTCCTGTCGACTAACTATTTGTGTCAGCAAAATGTCCTGTCGGCTAAGTGTCTTTGTTGGCTAAATGTCTTGTTGGCTAACTGTCTGTATTGGCCAAATGTCCTGTCAGCTAAGTGTCCTTGTCAGCTAAATGTCTTTTCGGCTAACTGTCTGTGTCAGCTAAATGTCCTGTTGGCTAAGCATACATGTTGGCTAAGTGTCCATATCAGCTAAATAGTGTTGGTTGTCTTGTCGGCTAAGTGTCTGCGACCACTTTCTAAGTATTCTCATCCGCACTGAAAAATCATGAACTTGATGCTGATTTGGATGAAAACTTTTGTTTGGGCATCTTTATATTTATTTCATTTATGCATACAGAGCTGCATAATTTTTTACAAATGTAAAAAAATAGGCAGCTGTATTAAAAAAAAGGGCAGTTAAAAAATCAAACACTTACTTTTTCCAGGAAATCCTCCTCTAATTTTTTTTGTGGTGTTGTTCTCCCCATGTAGGCAACGATCTGTTTTCGCAGAAAAGAGCAGAAAATTGCACAAACTCAATATTGTGCACAACCTTGGCACTGCACACCAGCCAGAACATGATCACTCAAGAACAGTTAAAATTTCAAGCACTTCAATGAAACTCTCCAACATAATGAAAATAATAAAGGCAAACTCTGCAGTTTCTTTAGGATTTGTTACAGGAAAAACAGTGTACTCAGTGCAAAAAGCAATGCTAATGAGAAGAATGACTGTAGAATTTCAAAAAAGCAAATCCATGTGTACTCAAACATATATGTGTGCTATGTACATACTTAGGTTGTCACATAAATGCTTTTTGGTAACATTTTGGGTTGCCACATAAATACTTTGTGCTGACTTAGTACATTGCCTCATCATTACTTTTTCATAGAAATGTGGATGATCGGAAATTACCAACATATTTTGAATTTATAAAAAATCCTAAATGGGCGGCTTTATCATGATAAAAATTAATTTATGTAATGTACAGGAAGAACAAAGGAAATTGTAAACATTTTAGAGTTTTGCTACTGTATTTTGAACAAAACAACTGCAGTTGTTAGAGAAATTAGTTCACTGTATTGCCACATCAGGATTAGATGCATTTCACATAAAGACATGTTAAACATAAAGTACTAGATATAGTCAAACTGACTAATCAGTTTGTCAAAATTCTAAGATAAGTGTAGACAGCATTTTCTCTCAGTGAGAAAGATATTGGCCTAGAAGGATGCTGAAATTACAGCTGCATACTGAGACAGCTATTTTGTATGTAGTGGATGGGAAAAAGCTTTGTTAAGAAGAGCAGAACAACAAATCTTAGAATATCATTAAAGTACTATATTGCTGTATGGTTAGTAAGGAAACTTTCAAGGTTAACTGGAAGTAAGAAGAAGGCTACTAAGTTAGTCAACCATTTATGCTTTGGGAGCCTTATAATATTTCACAATAAAAGAATGAGCTGTGCTCTGGCTGGCAAGTTTGTGAACACGTATATGCATGTCCATATATTGTGATGTATTCAAAATGCTATTGTGATGTATTCAAAATGCTGCCTTTTCACTCTTCATTGCTGCTGTATGACTCTTTTCTTTCTTTTACCACTTTGTATAAATTTAATAATGATGTTGTTGAAAACATGAATTGCTGTTAAATATTCTTCTAATTTAGCAATTTCATTCATAAACTCTGTGATTGTTATGAGCAGCAACAGAATGGGAAGTAAGAATATCAGTGTGATTACCAACTACATATATCAGAAAATGGTATGCATTTTTGTATACTATTTTTTGATACGTCGAACCCTGCTGTAATGAACCCCAGATGTGAAAAATAATCTTTTAGTCTTGTCCAGTTTCCTATACACGTAATGTGATTTTATACTGTTATAGCAAATTTTCAAAAGTATGAAAACTGGTTGTGATGAAATTTATGGATATCTTTGATTGAAAATTTTTGTATTTTGTATATTTCCTCAGAAGTTTTCTAATTTTTAATAAAAAAGTTACTAACCATTAAAATCATCCATGATCAAAATGTTAGAATCCACATTCCACCCTTGCTTCACGTTCTTTACAGAAAAGAAAACACCTTTATGTTATTTTTATTTTATCTTCATTCCCAGTTTTCACTGCTTTCTAAACAAAGGCTATTTTGATATTCCAGGAAAGAGAAAATAGAGAATCTTAGGAGCTTGCACTTTTACAACTGATTCTTCTTTTAGGGAATGAAATTTGTTTATCCTTATTGTTTTATTTTGCTTGAGTGTAACTGTTCTCTAAATTCTCTTCTCTGAATTACAGTTTTGCATTCTTTAGTTTGTGTACAAGACATTCTTCATAAAGGTTATTGAATCTGTATTGTAACCGTATGCATGTTGAGAAAAAGATTGGTTGTTATAAGATAAGACATTTAGGTGATAAAATTATCTTCCTTTTTCATCTTTTTCAGAATAGCAAGAATCTCATGTAGTCTTTGACCAAACTCTTAGCACTCTGTTTCTGTGTCAAAAGTTCATGCACATTGCAGACTGTAAATGTAAAGGTTCTGAACTGAGGATAAGGTGGCTATTATTTGATAAATGCAGAGTGGCTGCAGCCAAATCGATATCTGCTAAAAATACATTTTATCCAAATCTCCAGTTTGTACCTTATGAAAAAATGTAAACTTGGTGATTCCTGCTCAGCTGAAATGGTTCTTCATTTAAAGAACCCATCATCTGTAAATATTTGGGCTAATGCTTCAGACAGGCCAATGACATTGCCAAGCACTTAGGACGAAATGGAAAAGAACAAACAAATTTAATAACTGCTTGTAATAATAATCGCTATTGAATCTTGATATTACTTATTTTAAAATTTATTATTATTATTGATTATAATTGACTATAATTATTGATTTAATTTTAAAATTATATACATATATATTTCATTTCTTTCAGTAGATCTGACAGTGTCAATTAGTTTTTTTTTTTTTTTTTTTTTTTTTTTAATTCATCATTCAGTTTTGATATATTTTCTAAGATAACCTATCTTTCTTGTCATATTGGATAACGAAAAAACTTAGACTACTTTATCCAATTCAAAATAAGATTAAGAATATAGTATGCAGACATTTTTATTTGCAGCATACTTAATAATATATTTGTGGTGGACCACACAAAAATAAATTAAACTGCTTCAATTAAAAATAATGAATAAATAAACTGCTTCAATTAAAAATAATGAATAAATAAACTGCTTCAATTAAAAATGATAAATAATATTATTTTTAATTGAAGCAGTTTGGAATTTTAATCATACAAATGTATAATGGCATTCTACTGTCAATTGAGCAATAAATAATATGTACTCATTTTCTGTATACTATTTGCATCTGTGTCAGGCTAATTTTTATAATAAAACTCAAAAATATTTTTTAATATATACAATGAGCCATAGATTATGTGAGTGTGGCTGATCATAAGATATTTGGCTTATTAGTAATTGTCCTTAAGTTCTCTTTTTAGGGTTGTGATTTATTTTAACTGATATAGAATTCTATGTACTTCATTCTTTTTGTGTCTTTAGCCAAGAGGTAAAATTGATGTATTTCTTGAATAAAATTACCTAAACTTTAGCTTAGCAGATCTGATATATATATATTTTATGATTTGGAATGTAAGAAACATAAGTTGATTTTAATGATATATTGTTTGTAGAAATGGTTATGCTTAACCATCATGCACATTTTAAGTGTAATTTTGTTTAATGCGAATATGAAAATAATTAACTTCATTATGATCTCATCTTTAACATTAAAAATGCATACTGTTAATATTGTATGTTTAATCTTTCTAAATTTAATTAATTTTTATTTCAAGAATGCTTCAAAAGCTGTAAAGAAAGTGTTCATTGAACTGTATGAAAAGAATCTGATTTATAGAAAGGAAAAATTGGTTAATTGGTCCAGTGAAATAAGATCTGTTATCTCAGACATTGAAGTAAGTTTATTACAATAAATACATATGTAACAAGGTTTCATTTTTGTGGTAATAACATTAAAGGATAGAAAAACAAATTTGTGTTCTTACTTATTTTTGCAAAATCAACTGTCACTGTTAAATAAAATTGTATCATACATTTATTAATCATTAGTGATTTAGTAAAGTAACTTTATTTTTCAATATTACATTGCATTTTCAGTTTTTATCACTTTTATAAATTATAATTCAAAAACCAATCTATAAATATTTCATAAAATATTTAAAGGCTGATTTTTGAAAATTAAGATATTTTTAATGTAATAAAATAAACGAAATGGTCACAAATCTGTAAAATTTAAACATATATGCATGTAATATATAGTTTAATTCAACTATTGGAATTTAGTAGTAGATATAAGTATTAGGTCATGCCATTATAAATGTCATCTTTTGAAGAATGTGTTGAAGAAATAAAAGAATGGGCATTTTTCTGTTAACAAAGCATCATTTAATGCCAAACATAAGTGTTGGCTCAAAATCTATCTAGATGTCAGAAACACTAAGTCTACATAAAGCTTTAAGAAAAGAATGTTTTTTTTTTTTTTAATCCAGAATAAATCAAAATAAAAGAGCAATACAAAATATGTAATGTTTTATGACATTAATTTCAAATTACACAGGAGGCAGAAGTAGAACTACAACTACAAAATATTTTCATCTTTTCATACAGTCTCCAGTATAGGAATTCAGTGATACAGAAATCTAGATGGTGGTGGCCAGTGCTATCCTGATATTTATTTTGCCATTTTGCATGTGGTTTCCTGTATGAGGATTGATAATGTTGTATCCAATGTTAACTTGCAAGTGTTCATATCCAGCAACTGCCAATTCATGCACTTAAGCAACTGAAAATCTAGGAGAGGAAATTCCTGGATTGATGTTTGTTTTTCCAACCTATTTGCTAGGAGTCATTGTATATGTATTCATAACATAATATAAACAGCCTGCCACATTTGGTGCACTGGTACACATTTCCCAACTAGTGCCCTGTTAACAGAATGGTAACTGTACATTCTTCATTTGAATCAATAACATTTTTTTCAGTGCTGTAATGTTTTTTTAATGCCATTTGTAAACAGTCATATGGCTTACTGGAGAAAAAAGTTCTTAAAGGTATATTTTAGTTGTCTCATGGGAACTGAATTGTTTTCCATCAGTGAAATTTTGCAGACTTAGAACCACCAGTCACTTCTTATTGCCAGTAACAGACAGTTCTAGAGCAAATTTTTTTCACATGAATGAACATATTCGCACATTTTCTTTGACTTTATATGAAATTTTCATTCTTTATATGAAATTCACTGCCAAGCTTAGACATGATCCGAGTTTCTTCCAATGAGTTGATGATAATGAATTAACTTTTTTCTACCAACTCTTCATTATTGCATAAGAATTTCTTTCAACTGCAGCTTTCAACATAACACTATCAAAAGACAAGGGCACTCACAGCAACTAGCATCTTCAAGTTAAGGATGGCTTGTTGAAATGTACAAAATCACAGTTTACATTTGTGAATATTCAAAACACCTTTATCATTTTGCACTGTCTCCAAAGTTTTTAAAACATTTGCTACATTATTGCCTTTTTTTAAATATTCATGAAGCACATACTTGATGTGCTCTTCTTTGACTGCCATTTTCATGAGAGGTGATTAAAGTATCAAATTAGCAACTGTGTGCTTGCCAATCAGACTGTCTGTGCTCAGTGGCATGTATGCGTCCATGATAATAACTTGTTAGAGCCTAGCTTATCTAAAAAATGACATTATTTATGGGATGGCCAAATGATATAATTTTTTATATTCTTTTTCTTCTCTCTGCTCTTTTTCTTCTTTTTGTATGCTAAATTATTTTTATGCGATTTTGGGGAAATTTTTGACTGTTTTCAATATATAGGTTGATCACTTGGAAGTTCCTGGCAGAACAATAAAACGAATTCCAGGCTTAAGTGAACCTGTTGTTTTAGGTTTATTAGACTTCTTTTATTATCCAGTATTGGATTCTGGTAAGTTTTCTGTATGAGATATTCAGTGTTATATGTGAAAAATTGTTATTAAAGCATTGTTATTAAAAATATTTTATTTAAAGACTTATCATATTAAGAGGTATTAAGTACATGTTGTAGTATAGCTTAAAATAAATATTTTGAAAATTAATTTATATTACTTTAGTTGCATTTTAATAACTAACATATTTATTACAGTGGTTTTTAATACCATGCAAATGGAATTTTTGAATACTTTGGTATTCAGATAAAAATTAATATATCATTGTTGTAGCTATAAAAAGACATATATAAAAAAATTTTGTCTTCAGTGTGAGATCCATTCAATGGAAAATAATGGTATATGGTTTCTTGCAAAATATTTGTGATGAGAAAATGAGAAGTGAGTGCAGAACTAGATTAACTATTAAACAAAATAAACGTGCACTTACGGCATTGAGGAAAGGGGGCACCACAAAAATGTGCTTAGGGATTCATGAACAAGGGGCACCATAAGAATTTCCCATTTTAACTTTTACTATGGAACATGTTTCAGCTAAAGAGCAAGATCAAGAAAAAAGGAGTAGGGAAAAAAACAGGCATTATGTTGTAAATTAATATGGAGGTACCAAAAATCTTTTAATTGTTAGGACCTCTAAAAATTTTAATCCAGCTCTAAGTTAGCGCAGGCATGTACTAGTATCTTCCATGGTACTAAAACCTTTATAAGACAATTATGCTTTTTATATCTCTTGAACAGTTGCTTTTTTTTTTTGCTGTATATGAGGTATTCCAGTAACAATAAAGATGTGTGCTTGAATTTTAATATGAGTAATATTTCTTTTGTATGAATGTATATGTTTTGCTCATCTTTCATTGAATTGGATTGGGGAATATCGAATTTAGCACATATATCTGAGGCAAAAGATTTAGACTATAATTATTTCTTTCCTGCATGAAATGTACTGTGCATTTTCTTGCATCTTTAAAATCACTTGTTTGAATTTTGATCATATATGCTACCATCATTTCATTCATCCAGGTTTCTGTTTTGTTTTAAGAGAATATTTCCAGTGACTTCATTGTTATCTTCATGTCTCTTTCAAAATTAATTATTTCTTCTAGAATAGCATCTTTTAGGATATGAAACATTCTAGATGTCACATACTAACACTAGAAATGAAAAAAATGAAAAGAACATGCAAAAATTAATTTTTATTTACAAAGATTTATGTATTAATAATAAAACAATGGTGATATGATTGCTACAGAGTAGTAAAGTAAATGCAGCTGACACACTTGTCTCATGATAGCTTAAGTCATGGGTTAATAAATCATCACTATAATCATAAAGTGTTTAATAACATGTAGTAGTGTATTCATATTCATAATAGAGTCATAGAAAACGATAAATACATGTTATCTGTCAACTGCAAAATTTGGTCATTACTGAACCATAAATTTCGTGGAGATCCCACCAAAGTTGCATCATTTGTTCCTGCAGAATTATGAGTTGCAATTCTATCTGCAACCCTTACAATAAAATATTTGTCAGTCTTTGCACAATTTACCAAATAGCCATTGTTGCGAAAGTATTCAAGCTTTGTTTAGAATGGTATAAGTTCAAACTTCCCTCCGGAGATTGTTCCAATCTACTACTGTTTTATCGGCCATATTGAGCTGTTCTTCTCCCCATTCAACAGCTATTAAATTATCTCAACCAGCTGTAAATGAGCTGGAGTGTAATGAAAAATGTCATTTTAGAGCCCTCAAACTTATTTTATTCAAAATGAAAGGAAAAATAAAACAACAGCACTTAATTTACAATGCTTTTCATAAAAACATATTTTATTGTCCGAAAATCAAGAAGGGAAAATTATGCAAATAATTTTAACTTTCAAAAGATGCAGTTATTAAGAACATAAAAAGTGAAAAGTTGTTATTGATTATCTACATGTAACTATCATAATATTATTTCTTTAAAAGAAATCTGCATTGCAATGAGAATACATAGTAATACTAACATTGCAAAACCTACTGAGATAGCTTTCTTGATTTCTCTTTCTCTGTAACTTGCGATTTGCATGTTTTTACTGTTGTGCTGTTGGACCTCTTTAATCCATAAATAATTAGAGGAGATGAATGTGCAGGTGATTCAGCAAAATTGTAGACTGAATGTCAGTTTGTGTTTGCTTCACTGTGATTAGTCAGTTCTTGTATTAGGCTTTCATAAAATTCAACAGTTAGAAGGAAAATGGCTGGCATGACTTTCACAGGTAGTTTGCAAGTGTGTGTCTTTGTTAGTAAGATGAAAACAATCAGACCATGGATAAACCCATTTTAAAATTTAGAGGAGTTTGTTCTGTGACTGCATTGAAGAAGGAGAATATACAAATTAATGCTGGGGCTATTATTATTCCATTTGCAAAGTATACCCTGCCCAATGGAAAATTATTGCAAATGATGTTATAATACGTTATTTCTCTAAAGATATTCGTCTCATCTTGGCAGATGATTAACATCTAACCTAGTATTTAGTTTTTAATTATAATGTTTTTTTTTTCTCTTTGGCAACTACATGGTATCTTTTGCAATCATGATAATACAAGTTTTTAGAATATTTTGAAAGGAACTGACAAAGAGCAAAATATATCTTATTAAGTTTATTTCATAAAAATTGTATTATCCGCATAATTTATACAGCGTATGACTTAACATATAATATAAAAATACTTTAAGATGTATTTTTCATACTTCTGAGATATGTGTATTCTCATCACACATGCAGAAAAGGCTGGTAATGGCCTTGAAGTGTTTATTTTAAGGGAACAGACTATAGTTACTTTCAGATATGTTTCTCTACAAGTAATAGCTGCCATGGGAGATTTCACACCATTCTTAATTGATTAATGCTCTGTTTACATGCTTTTAACTTGTATTAAAAATCATATCTTTGTAGGCTTATTATATCTGTTATGACATTATGATTGCTAGCTAAAATTATCTTTTGTTTATTTTCAGTCATTACAAATAAATTTTACTGTTATCATTAACTAAAGTTCTGCGTGGAATGTTTTAATCAATTGGAAATATCATACGGTGATTTAAAAATATATAAAAAAATTATGTATGTTGTATTTTGGCTGTAATTATCATGTTTCATGTTACTCGTATTTTAGATGAAAAAATTTTAGTCGCAACCACACGCTTAGAAACAATGCTTGGAGATTCAGCATTAGCAGTGAATCCAGAAGACACAAGATATTCTCATCTGATCGGCAAATCTGTTAAGCATCCTTATACAGAGGATAGCTTACCAATTATATCTGATAAGAGCATAAACAAAAATTTTGGAACAGGTAATGGCTACAATTAAATATGAAAATTATCTGAATCAGTTTTAGATTTCATTAAATGTTTGAGTTTTGTAATTCCTTCAGCTAAGACTATTTTTGTATTTTTTAGATTTTGTAATTTTTTTTTATTCTAGGTATTATGAAGATTACTCCAGGCCACGATTTCCATGACTTTGAACTTGCTGAAAAACATAAGTTAAAGATCTTAAATATATTATCTGATGATGGAACTATTAATCAAGATGTAGAGAACTTTAAAGTAATACTCTTTTTTAATATAAAATTTTTTACTTCTTTCATGTAGTCCACTGTCATAGCCTTCTTTTTCTTGGGCGTGTAACTTCTGGATATGTATTTACTTCCTACCGTAGACGTATCGTATTGCGTGCGTTGCATAAAACAGCCATTTTAACGGCACAAAACTTTATTAACACACAAATAAAAAATAATAAGTACAAACGATTAACACACAAGTATCACTTCGTATCTTGCATCTAAGCTGACATACAACACATGTTTTTCTTTACTTCGCTACTACCTATTAACTACTCTTCTCTAGTCAGTTTCATGAGAGAGAGGCGTTGCAGGCCGTTCGGCTGAACTGCGCATGCGTGGTCATCACGTCATGACACCTCCCCTCGAAAAGATTTGATTGCGTCTTTCAATAACCTGTCAAATCCACATATATAAACATTTCTTGAAACAAAATAAAATAACATCCACAAAATTTTTGAACTTAATTAACTAATTCTTACCATTTTAAATTAAAATTACTTCAACATAAATTCAGTAATCCTATTCATTTAAAAGGATGTAACATTCAATTAACTTTTCAAACTTAAATCCTTCACATAATCATAATCATATAAGCAGTTATCATATAAACGAGACAATACAAATCAATCATTAACATTAAACATAATACTTTAGCAAACCCTGGCTAAATCTTTAAACACATTACCTAACGTTAGAAAAAAAAAATTAGCATTTTAGCTAAAAAAAAAATCAAACTAAACAGTCAAAATGTCTTATAGTTCATAGTTCATAACGTCAGTCATGTTTCACTCACTTGGAAATATAATCATGTCATTTTAAGTCACGTCATCAATAAAACTCAGCATAGTCTTTTAGTCTACACATAATGTTACCATTCCATTTTGTTAACGCATAAATTACTGGATGCACATATTCACTTTCTGATTCAACGATTAGCTTTAGCTGTAAAAGCTTATCTATTTGACGATCAACTTCATTTCTTAGAACTTTCAGGTATTCGATACGGTTTCTGCTTTTTTGGCATACTTCCAGGTTTCAGTTTGATGCTGTGTTCTCCCAACATTGGCGATTTTCGGAATACCAGTTCTTAGGTTCTTATGCCTTCTTAAAATCTCCATAAGTTCTTTCTTCTTATGCGGTTCAAGGTGTGTAAAAAAATCACATTCCTTCATTAGAATAGTGTTCTTTTTGCTTTCCGTGGAATCAATTCTTGGAACGTTTTCAACTTTCCGAAATCAATATCTGTATCATATATCACACCGACATTATTCACAGCGGTATTGAACTCTCGTATCTTGTTTGCGTGAACGTGCTTCGATGAATTGTCAGGCATTTGTACTATGTAACTATAATCAGTATGCTTTTTGATGATAGTAGCAGGTCCCGTCCATCTGGCATAAAACTTTGTTTTGGCTATCAGGGATTAAAACTATAACCCTGTCACCTTCCTTGAATTCTTTATGACGAGTCTTTCGGTTACGGTAGAATGCATAAGCTTGTTGCTTTCCAACATCTGTAAGTCCTGTATTCAGCAGCTTTTTCCAATTTCGTCTTCAAATTATTTCAGATAATCGGTAACTGAACTTGAACTTGTCCATGAGGAACAAGAGTTTCATTAGTCCATGACGATTTCAAAATAGACAACGGGCCATTAGGACATCTTCCATAAAGCATTTGGAACGGACTAACACCAGTCGTAGCATTAGGAACTTCTCGGTAGGCCCAAAGTAAATACGGTAGATGTTTCTCCCAATCTTTCGAATGTTCTCTAACGGTATGATGTATCATTCCCTTTAAAACAGCATTAAATCTTTCTACCAGGCCATTTGAACTTGGATGATAAGGAGTCGAGAACCTTGGGGACGATCCGATCCTTTTCAAAAACTCTTGGGTCAACGAAGCAGTAAAATTAGTTCCTTGATCTGAAGCAATAATTTGAGGAATTCCTGTGTGTGAAAAGATTTGCAACAATGCATCGCATGTTGCTTTGGCATTCAAATTCTTCAATGGCACCGCTTCGGGCCACCTTGTACATTGATCAACAGCACACAGAACATATTTGTAACCTCTACAGCTTGGCTCTACAGGTCCTAGGATATCCACATTAATTACCTGGAATGGTTCTTTAGGACGTGTTACTGGCGTAATCGGAACTTCATCAAAGGGACGCTTTTTCGCTTGAAGTTGACAAGAAGTACAAGCACTGCAGTATTCATTTACATCTTTCTTGATTTCCGGCCAATAGAACGAATATCTCAAACGTTCGGCTGTCTTCTTGGTTCGCAGGTGGCTTCCCCATAAGCTAGAATGAGCTAAGTCCAAAATTTGTTTTCTTCTTTCTTTAGGAACGACTAACTGGTAAACTCTTTCTCTTAGAACTTTATCTTTATGATACAAGAAGTTGTCAATAACAATAAAGTTATTACTTCCGTTCTTAACATTTTGCCAGCATGTTTTTAAAGATGGGTCATTCATTTGTTGCACTCGAAACAGTTCTGAATCCGAAGCACATTGATCGTGTCCTGTGCTACCTTTGGAATCATCCTTACCTGTATCTTCATATACAAGCGCACAACATTCTATTATCTTCTTAACAGTTTCATTACATTTTTCATTAATTAGGTTTTCCCTAACATGGTTAAGTATTTCGTCAAAATTTTCAGTTTCATGAAAAGGCATTTCACCGAAACTATCAGTAGCAATGTTTACATTTCTACATTCAAAATTAAACTTCTTTTATCATCTCCCCTTAACTCATTAAAAGCACTTAACGACAAGAGTAAATCATTACATAACTTATCCACCATTGCACATGTTATAAAAATAGGTGACATAAATTTATCATTTTCAGAATATATTACTAAAGGTAGGTTAATGAGAGGAGCTTTTAAAGCTTGTCCGAAAGCTGACGTGAGGATAACACTTCCATGTGGTGTACGGTATTTTTCTGGTACAATGTCGGTCTTAACAACGGTTAATTGCGTGCCTGTATCTGCTACTGCACTAATTAATTTACCATCACATATAAGTTTAACGGTTGGCAAGTCATCTATTAATTCTTTAACCTCTTGATTCGCAGTAAAATATTTAGAAGAAATCTTTGCAGTTACGGCGTTAGAATTATTCTTAATTTCTTCTTTAGCAACCCTTTCCTTATCTTCATGCAACAATATATTATGATACTTAGAATAACATTTTGAACATTTTAATTGAGAAGGGCAATTTTTTTCTACAATTCCTTTCGAAACTAAGAAAAAGCACCGATTAGAAAGCCCTTTAAACTCTTTTTCCTTTCTTTCGGAGACATAACGCATTTTTCCGAAGCATGATTTTCGCTTTCGCAAAATAAGCAAGGGAAAGTTCGAACAACTGCAATTTTGCTTACATTAGGAGAATAGCTGGCGCCAAATTTGTTGCCGTTGAATGAATTCCGAGTGTGGAAGTTGTTTCGCTTTTCATTTGGTTGTGAATGCCTTCCAAGAGAATTAGCGTGACTCTTAGAATAAAATAAATTTAATGAAGTTCGTTCGCGACTTTCAATTTGTTTTAGAAATTTCATGAGGTTGTCGACATTAAAAGTTTCTTCATCTGCGTTTTGACGAGCAAAATCAAGCGTTATATCCTGAGGTATGCATTTCATTAACAAAGGGTATAGTAACTTTCCATACGATTCGGTCTTGACCCCTATCGAATTTAGTGACCTTACTTGTATGTTGCAGGTATCATATAATTCCCTCAAAGAATTAATGTCATTAGAAATTCGGACAGGCCGTAAATTTAAAAGTTTATGCATGTAAGAATTAATAAGGAGATCTTTTCGACCATACCTATCTTTGAGAATTTTAAAAGCTTCGTCGTAGTTTTCTGGAGATAAAGAAAAGCCTTCTATTGTTTTTAAAGCTGCACCGCCTAACAGGCTAAGCAAGTAATTAAACTTATCTACTTTAGATAGTTTTTCGTTTTGATTATATTGCCGTGTCAAAAGAATTGTAAAAATGTCTGCCACATTTCAGCATTCCCATAAAATTTATCAATCATAATCTTCGGCAATTTAACATTATAATCAGAACTTTTATCGACACCAGAAATAGATAAATTGTTACTATCATTAGAAGAACCATTAGAAACTAGCGAATTATTGCTATTTTTTTTTCTTTCAATAATTTTGTGCCTCTAAAGCTCCATTTCGAAATGTTTTCTTCGTATTCCAAGGCACTTTCGATTTCGGTTTCAATGTCATTAACATCAGTCAAAGTTTTAATTTTTTCGTCTAACACTCTCAAAGAAATAGCTTTTACTTTTAAACTTTCCAGTGATTCTTCAAGGTCTTCAAGGTTACCGGCTGCAATTAATGATTCAATAGCATTTGTTACTTTAGTAATGGCTGAACGCATAACTTTCCGTTCTTTCTTAGATTTCGTTAGCTCTTCAGCCATTTTTGTAACCTTGAATTCCACTTTACCACAAAATAAATTGAACAAATTTCTTACCTTTCTGAAGACTCACTTATGCATTTATCCGTGAAATTTGCAGAATGACATATCCCACTTCTGACACCACTGTCATAGCCTTCTTTTTCTTGGGCGTGTAGCTTCTGGATATGTATTTACTTCCTACCGTAGACGTATCGTATTGTGTGCGTTGCATAAAACAGCCATTTTAACGGCACAAAACTTTATTAACACACAAATAAAAAAATAATAAGTACAAACGATTAACACACAAGTATCACTTTGTATCTTGCATCTAAGCTGACATACAACACATTTTCTTCTTTACTTCGCTACTACCTACTAACTACTCTTCTCTAGTCAGTTTCATGAGAGAGAGGCATTGCAGGCCGTTCGGCTGAACTGCGCATGCGTGGTCATCACGTCATGACATCCACTATTAAAGTTAAATATAAGAATTTATTGAAAAGTTTTAAGAGTATTTTAACATTAATTAATTACTTCTCATATATTTTCGTTCGGCTGAACTGCACATGCGTGGTCATTACGTCATGACATCCACTATTAAAGTTAAATATAAGAATTTATTGAAAAGTTTTAAGAGTATTTTAACATTAATTAATTACTTCTCATATATTTTCATGTAATCCTCTGTTAAATGTGCGAATAGATTGAAAATATTTAAGATTGATAATTTTACTTTGAGATGACATTGAAGGCCACACATTTTTTTTTTTTTTTTTTTTTTTTTTTTTTTTCAGAGTACTATCCTTCACACTGATTAATTTCTTACAGCATTTTATGAACCCTTCAAACACATCAAACAGACAGTTTTGTGGTATCCCTTTTAGCATCTCTACCTTTAGTGAACATATCTTTGTGCTCAATTACTTTTTCAGCATTGAGAATGTCCAAAAAACATATCGTGTTAAATCCAGGCTATATGGTAGTTGTTCTAGGTCTTTCCATCTATTTCGGTTAGTTGCCTATTGTACAGCAGCAACACATAGTTAGGTATTGTCCTGGAACAGTAACTATTATTACTTGAGTTTTCTTCCTCACAGCTCAACAGAGGATAGTTTATGGAGAATTTCATCTTATCCACTCTGCATACAGAGAACCTATTATTATAATATTTTCTCATGGTACATCAAGAAACCAAGGTTAAGAAATCAAAAATCATCTCAAATATTCATTCACACCTGAATTCATTATTACATTTGCTGATCTAGATTTCTGGGTATCTAACTGGCATATATATATAATGCATTTGTAATATTCTTATCTTCAAGCAGTCAGTGTATTTAGCCACTTAACTGATTTGCCCATGCGCGGTACTTGCATCACTTCCGGGACTCATGTAATTTGCCTGCACATCATATAGGCTAGAAGAGTTTATATTTTCCTTTAATATTCGTATTTTTGTTTCTCACACAGTGTTGTCAAGAGATGACAAAAGCAGTCCACTGAAGCACAATCACTGTTCTAGTACTCCCCTCTGATTTTGAAGGAAAATATTTTCAAGTGGAATATATAGTTAAAGTTTAAAAAACCTTTTTGGAAAAATTAGCCCTATATCTGGGCTATCTTAAAGCTGAGTTAGTTATTAAAAGTTATAGTTATGGAGTTATTCATTCAAATGTTAAAGTTAATCTGGAATTATTCAAAAGCTGAATCCTGTGTTTGTTTGAATCCTGCATATGCTTTAATAATATAGCATTAAATATCCATCAAATTAAAAGAATAAAAAGCTTGTATTGGGTTGATTGATTAAAATTTTAGGGAATTTATTTGCAAACTAATCATTCATACCACTGAGGCAGTTTGCATATAAAATTTGAATTAAAAGCTAAGTTGAACTTAAGTGAACTTAGTTGTATAAAATTACTACATAATTTCATTAATTAGTGTTATGATATGCAAAAATGTATTATACTTAAAGTACCAAGAATGTCATTCTGTTATACCTTTGCTTTATGTATATGCGTATAGTATAGTGGAACTTTTTAATAACTAAGTGAGTAAAATCATTAGAAATGTTGGTTTTACTAAACCAGTTTTCTCAGACCTTTTTGCTCTATGCACCTCTTTTCCCACTCCAGAAGATCCCAAACTTAAAAAAAGAAAAAGAATATTTATATGTGATGTTTTAAATCTGTAGTTAGAAACATGGATGTATAAACCAACTTCCAGATGTGGCCATTTTTAAACAAAATTTTAATTCAAGATCATTTTGGTACACAACAGATAATTTTGGTAGACAAGCCATGCAGGATTTATGTATAAGCTACACAAGCTATAGCTTAGGGCACCTGTTTTCTTGGGGGGCCCTAAAAAATTAAAATATAGTATAACAGACTTATAAAAGGCTCATATCTCAAATAGCTTAGGGCTTTATCAAGTCTAAATCCGGCCCTGTAAACAAGGTATTTATCTAATCATAATTAATTATGATAATTTTTATGTACATGTATTTTAAAATACGCTATCATCTTTGATAAGTAAGCATAGCAGCAGAGATTTTGCATGGCAGAAGAAGTTAAGAATAAGAAGCAACGTAATTGCTTGTGAAGCAGTATTTATATTAGGTAAGGGCATAAGTAAAGCTAAGATGGGATTTGTTAATTTTAGGTTTCAGTTCTTATTTCAAGCAGTGTTATGTACTTTTTAAAGATCTCGAATTTGGGAGAACAGATGAACTTAAATCTAGAACAGTCAAATTTGAGGTTGCCAATTATTTCTTAACATAGCCATCATATCATCATATTTTATTATGTCCTACATATATATACATTTATTTAGATTAAGATTATTTTCTACGTAGCATGTTTTATAAATTAAACTGCAAAAAGTATAGAAAATGTTGGTAAATACCAAAACTCAAATAAAAATAGTTATATATATATATATTGGTAAACTGAAACCTAAACCTAAATACTTAACAGCTAAATAAAAGGCTGATGGTATTCCTCCCTGAAACTATGCCCAATTGAGAACCCCTTTACTAAGAAAAAGTATTAGGCTGTTTTCCTAGAAATTTCCATGTGAAGACATTCATTAAAAGTACATAAATCTCACATGCTTTAGACAATAATATCTCTGTTTCTCACTATTTCTTTTGTGTGTATAAATATGTCATATATATTCAGTATTATTTGTGTATAGATGTATATTGTCATCTTCTTTTTCTAGGGTAAACACCGCTTAATTGTCAGAGATTTATTGAGAAAAGATTTAAAAGCAAAAGATCTGTATAAAGAATCAAAAAGCCATGCAATGAGTATTCCATTTTGTAGCAGAACTGGGGATATTGTTGAACCTCGATTAAAAGAACAATGGTACTTAAATTGCACACAGATGGGTGAGAAGGCTGTAGAGGTATGTTGACTTGTGACATGTCTAATGTTTTGAAATGTTTATCTGTGTATATGTAAAGTATTTGTTTTTCATTGAAAATATGTAAGTTTTAATATGTAAATTGTGATATATATATGTAATGATATTTTTAAATCACTTGATTAAATTAAATTCTAATCATATTTCTTAAAAATGTGTTGGCAGTTCTCTACCTAAATTGCATCCCTGTACCTACATTTTCGCAAAATCCTTTCTTTATTATAAATTATGGTAACCTGTTGGCACCCGCCAAATTGCCAAACTCATAAATTTTTCATATTACAATAAGTCCTTAAGAACACTCCTTATGAGAAGATAGCATCACCTTGTGATTTCAATTAATATCGCTGATTAGATGAGCACCATGCCGCACACATATCTATAAATAATTGTAATGTTTTAATTGTAAGCAAATAATTGCAAATGTTTGTTCTATGTAATCTATTCAATGTTGTAATTAATGGAAGCTTATGCTATTTTAATTAGTATGAACAATCGAGGTACATCATCATGTAAAATAACATTCTATAATGTATACTATACTGGATAGAGGTAAAATGTAACCATTTCAAGTGATTAGTGCAATATCTCATAGGTGCTTTTTGGGTTCAAGTGTGTTACAGTATGGAGATTGCAAGAAACATAGAAAGAAGTTCGTTGAATAGCTGTCAAACCAACTTTGCACTATATGTAGAATGGTATTTTATTACTGTAACCGACAATTTTGAGTAAATAATACACAGAGCATAAAAGATACAGCTGGATCTCAATTGTATTTGGATAAATTTAACTTGTCAAGGCAGACTTCAGTTTTAGTGAAGTTCCAGATAAGCTACAAATATAAGTGGATGTGATACCATAGATCTTACAGGTATACTCCTACTGCAATAGCTATGCAGTTCCATCAAGGTTTTGATGGAGTACACACTGGCGAAGTGTCCAAGGGCTCCCACCTTCTTACCCTGACACCATACCATTCAGGAAGACTTTCAGCTTGCCAGTATCTTGAGTATCCCCTCACAGATGCCATACACTTATTCATGCCTTCTTTAGGATCTGAACCAGGGCTCATTGGTATGACAGCCAGTCATATATTATCGCCAACCTGTACCAGTATATTGGTATGCCTTTTTTATAGGAGGATTCCGTTGCCTTGTACAGTTTCCTTTGAACATGAATTGAACTCAGACAGCTGGAAGCAGAATTCACAGAATACAGATTTTATTTATGATACAGTATGAATGTTTTTAGTTAAACTGAAGGTGTAGGGATATTTACAACTGCACAAATATGTATCAGTGTCTGCAGAAATTGATTGAGGGGGGATATTCACTAGTACGATTTGTTGGCTGATGATTAATTAGTAATGTTTCTAAGAAAGGCTTTGATTAACCTGAAAGTTGTCTGCTGTTCCATGAGTACAAGCTACGAAAGGCATTGTCCTTTTGTGTTCACTGTTATGATGTGCTGCATTTGGTTGGAAGTATTGAATAATCACCTGAGAATTTAAATGCCCTGTCCATCAGGTGTCTATCCTTAGTCGTATCAATACCCATTCCTTCACCATGCTTTAGTCAAGTTTGTGATATAAACCATGTAATTATTAATAAGCACTCAAACTTTATTTTCTTTGAAAGGCCAGTAAGAACCACAACATGAATGTCATGTACTTTGCTATTTATTCAGTTTATTTTGAATATGTTATTCACATGTATTCACAGTGCTGCAGTGTATTAAAAATTATACGTGTGGGTGTATCAAAATAGTATTATGAGCTAATAGATCTATGCAAATTCAAAATAATTTGGCAGTGAAATATTTGAATAGATGTATGAAATATGTCAGTTATACTGGGAAAGGTAGCTATTTCAAATAATTTATCTATAGTAGAAGTTTGATATCAAAATTTGTGTCTCTTGCAAAGGAACTTTAATCTGCTATTTTAGATACTTTTCTCAGATTCATTATTAATATCTAATAGATAAAGTAAGAATTATAAGAGGAAATTCTATACCAGATTCCTGAAAATAGTTTTAAGTGTTATTCTATGGTGCACACTTATGTACTGAATAATGGAGCTTGTATTTAAATTAATGCATTATTTAATTTTATAGAAATATAAGATTTCTCAAATTAAAATTATTTCATCTAGACCAGTGATATCAACGTATTTTGCCCCATGCATCCCTTTTACCTTTGCTAGAAGGTAATTCCAATCTCCTTTCCTAAGCTTAAAAAATACATGTATATTTATATACATTTAGATTATTTTTTTAATGTCTTTCTATAAATTAAACAATAAAAGATATAGAAAATGTTGATAATACCAAACTTTGAATAAAAGTATTTTTTTATATGCAGAAACTAAATACTTAACAGCTAAATAAAAGGCTGATTGCATTCCTCCCATGAAACTATAAAATCTCCCCCCCCCAGGGAAGAATTCCTCCCTGTTGAGAAACCTGATCTAAATTCAGGCAAGTTTCTAAATTGATTTTTAAGAAAATTTATCTAAAGCAAATCATAGTCAAAATAAATTATTGGAAATACCAAGAAATACTCATTTGTAAAATTTGTTTCTAAAATCAGGTTGTCAAGCAAGGGAAGCTTCGTTTTATCCCAGAACATCATGAAAAAGTCTGGTTTGAGTGGTTCAGACATCTTAAGTATGTCTTAAATTATAATTTAGTTATTCTAAAAAGATATGTATTTCCTTTTTTTTATTTTAAAAAGAGTTACATTGTATTTTATTTTAAAAAATTTATGATGTATATATTTTTTGTCTGATAAGTTTGTTTGTTTTTTTGTCTGTTTGTGTAATTTGCAGTGCACTAAATAATTTTGATTTATAGACTGCTGAAAATAAAACTTTGCATTTATCTCTGTAAGGAACTTCTTACTGAGAATAAATTAACTTTTTATTTTGAAGCTTATAATAGGGATTAATGCTGGAATTGAATTTTGGTATGATGATAAATGTGATGAAATGTGGTAATTTTGTTTAATATGTTTACAATTTTGTGGTAATGTAGAATTTTTCCCTTTAAAACTATGTATGCAAAATATTCAAGCTTCTTATTTTCTATAGATTAGTATTATAATTTCTAAAAAATCTGAATTTTTACCAGCAGTATTTTAGTTGATAATTGTAAAAAAATTATAGCTTTTTTAATGCATAATATGCAAAATTACTTCTTCTGATTATATATAGTGCAATTTTTATACAACTTTTGAACTTATTTAAAAAATTTCACAATAATTTGGTCAGGAGAATAAAAGTTAAAATTATTGGTAAACTTTAATAATGAAGGATCATAATGCTTGTTTCCCAGTAGCTAAGTCTGCAGCACCAATCTTTGACTTAAGGTTTGAAATGAAAACTTTAGTTGTGTAATAATTCATCTGTAAAGTCTGTCTGGCTTTTTTTTCAGTCCGAATAATTTTTTTTATATAAATAGTAGTGTACCTTTTATATATTAAACAATTTATAAACTAGCAAGAGCGATAGTGGCTAGCTTAAACAATGGTTAAGCTATGACACTGTCAAAGGCAATGGATTCAAAGAAAGAGTTATGCTAAGAGATCATTTATTAATAGACTCATTTTCCTTTTTTTATGTTACATTTCACTGCAGTATATTTCCTTGGCTGTTTATTCTATAATATTTTTATTGTAATTGTAATGGATCATTAAAAAATAATAAAGGTAGTAGAGGGTGCTATATAGTTAAAATACCTTGTAATTATTTCAAGGTTTTCTCTTCTTCAGATATTGGCAGTGCACTAAGTATTTGCTAATCATACACACAGGGTGATAATTTAATTGTAGACTTAGGACTTGTGTTATTAAATATCCTTTGCTTTTCTGAAAATAACTATACATGGTGCTATGCAAGTTAAGGTAATTTAATTTTGAGGGAATGTTTTAAGCGATGTGTTGTAGGCATTTTTCCAATTGAATGTCAGTAGGGATGGCAGTTTGTGATTCATTATTGAGTTAGCTAAACCCTAAGAGCTAATTTAATTGTTAATGAGATGAATGAGGCATATTATAGAGATTATCATAGTAAGTTTTGCCAGTTTTAAGTGATTGAAGAATAACATGTCTATTCTCAGTGGCCCAAAACATGGACAGCCTTCTTCCATAACAATCTTTGGTTTATTGCAATAGCTTTAAAATCGTGATTGAAATCACATAGACAAGATTTGATGAACTGTCTGTGAAAATGTTTGTTTTTCATCACAATACTCATGTGATTGTGAAAGGCAGGGGGAAAATGCCCTGAATCTGTACTCAGTGAATATTAAACAGCTTCACTTCAGAGCAAAATGAACAAGGATGAACAAAAGGTAATGAATTATTTTGAAAGGAAGTATTAGACCTTCATGAACTCATTTGTGTTTTATGATGAAACTCATGTCTTTCCTCGTGATCTCTAAAAAGAAGAGTTTGAATTGTCACATAAAACACTTAATATACTTTCCAAGAAAATGAATCGAAGAATTTATAGGAATAGTAAAAATGGGGTTGTTTCAAGAACTAGTATTTTTCAAGTGTTTCAAGAGTAGTATTTTAAGATGGAAAAATGGCAGAAAATACAAAAGATGACACCCCCTATGTCTATAAGTTAAATATTTGCTTCTGATGTATATCAGTTTTCCTGTCTTCTACCTTTTTTCAAATCTTTTGTCATAGGTTTCATAGGTTTTACATGTGTCAATTTCAAAGGAATAAACTATTTATTATGCTCAAGGCATTTATGTGCTCACTTCAATATCTTTATCAGCCAAGAATTTTGCTATCGTGATTTTTTTGGGGGGGGAGGGAGGGGTGTTGTCTCTTATCTTTGCTGTTGGTGCAAAATATGGCCAAACTTTTCCCTTAACAGTCCTGGACAAACTGTAAGAGCATTAGAAATCATGAATGAAGGCAGACAAACATCACTTGATAAATTGCTTTCAAAAATTTATCTTTTTATAAAATCTTATTTTTCTTCTTCTAAGAGTAACACACCTGGAAATACAACTTTATACTTTCTTTTTATATGTCTGAAATGTTGTGCTGTGTTCATTGATTACTTATGTAATAAATTTGTTTAATAGAAAAGATCCCGTATTACACAGTAGAATTTACTTTAAGAAGAATATTTTACTTGATGGTTATGATAAAAATATTGTTTTTTTCATCACAATGGTTATCATCGTATTATTTGAAAAGAAATTTTTAAATGATTGATGAGTTTATGATAACCTTATTTATTTATAATTTAATTAGTATGATGAATGTACTCGAAGTTATGAAAAATCATTAGATTCTATTAGAGGAAGCTTGCTGATAAACTTTGCTTTAATATTTTTTAATTTTTTTCTCACTATTGATCTGACAGTTTTATATTTGAGTTTTCTAAAAAATGATAAGTCTATAAGTTAAGTATGTCTATAATTGTGTCTATAAGTTAACCCTATGGTTGCTTAGCTCTCCATCCAGATGAAGTGATAATCTATAAACATTGTCATTTCTTTTAGATAATACCAGAAATTATTAATTATGTTAGGAAAGACAAAAAATTGCAAAAACAAAAAAAGAGTAAAGAATGAATATGATATTTTTCACCTGAAGTTGCAAGTAACAGAATGTTAATATTATAAAAATGGGTTTCAGAGGGCTTTCAGAGTAGAAGTATTATTATGCTTGACAAAATTTTTGTATGATTAATTGGATTGTATTTTGTTTTCTAAATATTTATGATTAAGTGGGAAAAGGTGCTTGTTTTATTCTGGAAATATAATTTATGAAGACACAATAAAACATTTTCCATTGCCAGGGAAAATGGAGATTTTGCCTTCTCCATGAGTATTTCTCTTTTCTGTTTATTATATTTTACTGGAAAACAGTACAAAAGCTTTATGAAATCCATATGATAATGTGTTACTTGGTGATGTTTATATAGATGCATTAAACATCATATGCATATATTGCATATTATATAACTGTTATCTTTTAGTGATAAAGTTTGCTATCTGCTTTAAGTATCAGGGCTATCTCTGGGATCTGTACATAGAATACATTTATATGACAGTTGTAAATTTATGCCTTTTACAACGATTTTTATGACCATTCTCTAATTCTGTTAGATATGTTTTATTGCTAGAAATTCAGTTTCAAAATTTTTCATTTCCACTTTTTTCCTTCTGTATGAGACTGTGTATTTTTGCTTAAAAGTCCATAGTTAAATATGATAAATAATTGTGTAAATGTTCATTGTCAGTCTTTATTTTGATTTTTTTGGTTAGGAAATATAAGAATACATTTGCACTGTTAACAGTGCATTTAAAATCTTAGCACATAACTTGGATCAATACAAATAAAATGACCACTTGTATAAAACATGCAAAGTATATGTAAGATAGCCAGAAAATGAGTTTGATTGTAGTCAGAAAAATAAAAATTTACATTTTCACACACACACACACACACACACATACACAAAACTATTGCTTTAGGGTAGGCACTATGTTTCTACATAATTTCTGTGATGCAATTACACTAACTACTAGGATCGCATCTTAAAACCACCAGTTACCAAGAAAAGATTTCAGATATTTGAATAGGTGAAAGTCAGTGATGCAAGGCCCATGGGAAAGATTGAGAGCAATAAGTAGTGAAAAATTGCTGTATTTCAGTATTGATGTCTGGGAAAACATTCTCATGAGTCAAACCATTTTCATTGTTAGCTTGCAGTTTGATCTGAATCCCATGTTGCAATTTATTAAATAGGTTAGGCAGCTCACAGCTGCTACATTTGGAGTCTTGATAGAAGAAGTATGCCAGCAAAATTGCTTCTGTGCTTCCAGACGTAGTGAATGATATTTTTTGAGTGGAAAATGTGTGCTTCATTTTCATATTTTCTGGTGATGAAGATGCCTCCACTCCATTGAACGTTATTTGACACATTTGCTGCCATATATGAGAATACTCATAGTTGGCAACCTCCATTTATTTGCCAGCTAAAAGATAACTCATTATTGATCACTTTACCAAAGCACTGAGTATGAGTATTGCGATAGCAAATGTTTGCAGTTTTTAGGTGTAGCTCATTATTGATCACTGTTTTTAAATCACCGAATATAAATGTTGCCTAAATAACATGCAAAAATGTATGGAATTTTTAGGTGTTTGGCACACAAGAACCTAAATAAGGCACTTTGCATATTGAAATGAATTATTTTTTTTTCAAATTATAGATGCAATAATTAAATAAATAAAATGCAAAATTTTTTAGGAAGAAGCTAGGTCAGCACTGCTACAGTACCATAGATAATTGAGGTATTGCTGAACCTAGCTAACTGTTAAGCTTCCATCCCAGTTTTGAGGAACAACATATCAGGGAATGGTCAGAGGATCTCGCAGTCCTCTTCCCCTATAACCAAACTCTCAAGAGGACTTTTGGCTCACCATATACTGTAGTGCTGTCATGCTGCATGAGCTTTATATACGTACAAACATCAGGGCCTTCTCTGGGATTTGAATCTGGGCCCATCAGTATGCCAGATAGCAGTACTGCCTTCACAGCACTGTGTCAGATGTTTAGCACATGCTTCAAAAATTCTAGTACACCTGCCCATCCATTTCAGTTTCTGTAAGCAACTGTAAGGCACAATGTGTACACAGTTTCTAGTACTTATAGTACAAATACAAGAGAATAAGCTTGAAATTTACAGAAAATGCAGAGTACAGAAAATACAGAGAGAGAAAGAGCGATATTTTGCTAAATTATCATTTCTTCTTTCAAATATTCTCTTCAAGTATTGAATGGATACTTGAAGTATTCAATGGATTGTTAGTGACCAAATTGTTTCGTCACTAACAATCCATTTCATCATCATAGCTTTACTTTGGTCATTAAAAAAGTTTTACCTATTATCATACAATTTAAATCATTCATTGCCTGTTCTTCATAAATGACAATAATTTGCTAATGAGTTTCAGCTTTTTTAATGTTTCTTACATTCATGAAATGGGTAACAGACTGAATTTCACATTCATTCACAGAGCAATTTAATTTTCATACACATTATAAACTCACATCACAAAGCATAACAGTCTGAAAATGGCACTGGTGCTTTGCCAATGTATCAGCAAACTTAGCATGCATATGCACATTTGACAGTGCTGCAGCAATAATATTTAGAACTAGAACTCATTTTATGGGCATCCCTCATATTTTAAACTGTTAAGAACTGATGTGATAGAATGCAATACAAGATATAACTGTTTTTCATTAAATGATAATGAATGAAGTTGGATATTTTTATACTTTGAGTCAGGCAATTCTTATTAATTTATTATAATTATTAAAATGTTATCAATAGCTTTAAGGTTTCGGTAAAATGCAATGAACTGAAAAAGAAGGAAATCAGTATCTATTCAAGAGTTGGTTTTGTTTTTTCCCAGCAAAGAATGTCATTGCATCATTATTAAATGCGAGTGCGATCATTTTTGCTAATCTCTTCATCTAAGTAACTTTGCTAATTTTTTCATTTAATTTAGTATAATTATTTAAGGGAGTTTATGTTTTGGATAGTATTTTTGCTAATACAAAACTGTTTCTTATTCCTGGATAATCATCTAGCACTTGTTATATGTGATTCTTATGTTTCTGATAAAATATCTATATTAATTTTCACTATATCTGTCATTTGAAGAATATACATTTTTTAAAAGGATATGTAAAGAAACAAGTGAGTATATTTTCTCTATGCTATCTTTTATAATATTCATGTTTCAGAGACTGGTGTATTTCAAGGCAGCTATGGTGGGGGCATCGTATACCAGCATATAAAATCTTCTCACCAAATTCTCAGGCATGTTTTTGTAAAAGGCATTCATATATTTTGTAATGTGCTTCGGTATTTTGTTTAATGTCTCTTTGACTATACTTGTAATGGTGTAATTTTTAATGGCACAAATATAATTATAAGATTTATATGCAAAGAAATATTAATATGCAAAGAAAATTAGTTGTAATTAATTTGAAATTTTTTTGAATGCTGTTGATGCTGATATTTAATTTTAATTATTATAAATGTTATAAACTTGTTGTACAGAAGTTTTAAAGGTTTTTTTAAGTAAATTCTGTAAATATGTATATTTCAAACTACACATATAATATACTAAATTCCAGCAAAGGCGAACATTCTATCAGTTTTGCAAACAATCTTAGATTACATTATATTTAACACCAAACTAAAATAAAATCAGTATTTTTGTTAATTTTGGAAATTTATTGAAAGGATATTCGAAAATTAAAATTTAAGGAATTATTGTTTTCACCATGGCTTTTAATTAAAAAAAAATTTGTTTTGAACTGACCCTTGTTCTTCAGATTTTTCAAAATAGCATTATGATAAAATTAACAGTTCTGGCGATTTTTTCTCTGAAAAAATGCTGCTAAACTTTCAGAATATTATTGTTATTTTACTCTTTTTTGATGCACTGCTTGATGGAGAAAATGCCATGTTATAGAAATTTTATCTTAGAATTAATCAAATTGCAGAATGCTAATTTAATATGCTAATATTATACAGTAATAACATATGCTAATTTTTACAGTTTGAAATCAATTCATAATTGGGGTTCAGGATGAAAAAAGAAAACAAGTCTGTCTGTTATATTTTGTGACTTTCCTTGATCATAAACATTTCTTTTTGATGTATAAATATAATAAAAATTAATAAAGGTCTAGAAGTATGTGTGAAGTACGAGGAAAGTCTTTTATCAAACAGACATTTTTCAAGAAAATCTGAATACTGCTAATTGGTCTCTAAGTTGTATTATTACTGAAATGTAATGCAATGCAACAAACTTTTGTCAAGCTTAGAGATAGTAGATATAGGATTGAAAGGAAAATTGTGAGAGAAAACTTAGGTATTAAAAAAAAATGTTAGACTGCATTCCTCACTGCATCCTATATTATATACGAGGCGTATTCAGAAACTAAGTACCGTTTTGAAAAAAAGAATAGTAAAACAATTTTTTCGAATCCAATTTTATTTTTACATGAAAATACATGTTTTAAACTTTTTTTTAACATACTTTCCGCTAATGATCAAACACTTGTCATAGCGGGTGACCAGTTTTTGTATACCATCGTCAAAGAAACTTCCCGCCAGTTTTGTAACCATGACTCCACAGCATTTTTCGTGTCATCGTCAGATCCAAAGCGCTTGCCACCAAACTCGCGCTTCATGTGCAGGAACAAGTGATAGTTGGAAGGCGCCAAGTCCGGGCTGTACGGCGGGTGATCGAACTGCTCCCAATGAAACTGTCGAATTAAGGATTGAGTGACACCAGCAGTATGGGGCTGAGCATTGTCGTGGAGCAACACAATTCCTTTACTGAGCATTCCTCTTCGTTTGTTTTGAATGGCACACCTTAGTTTTGTTAAAGTCTCACAATATTGTGCCGCATTAATGGTTTCACCTCTGGGAAGAAATTCAGTAAGCAAAACACCTTTCCTATTCCAGAAGACAGTGCACATGATTTTTTGTGATGACATTGTCACTTTGAACTTTTGTTTTTCGGAGAATGAGTGTGTCTCCACTCCATCGATTGTTGTTTCGATTCTGGTGTGAAATGACACATCCAAGTTTCATCACCTGTCACAATTCGGTTTAAAAAGTTTTCTCCCTCATCACTGTACCGCGTGAGAAATGTCAGGGCACTACCAAATCGCTTTGTTTTGTGAACATCAGTGAGTATTTTTGGAACCCATCGGGAACGCAGTTTGCGATAATTCAAGCGGTCAGACACAATTTCGAACAAAACAGTACGTGAAATTTGTGGAAATGCCTCTGAAAGAATTGTCATTGTGAAGCGTCTGTTCTCATGAATTGCTTCATCAACTTTCCTTACCAAATCATCAGTGACAACAGAAGGCCGACCACTCCGAGCCTCGGCGTGGACATTTGTTCGACCTGCATTAAACATTCTTACCCACTTTCTCACCATTCCATCACTTATCGCGTATTCACCGTAAACTTCTGTCACTTGACAATAAATTTCGGCCAGTGTAACATTCCTTACGTTCAAAAATTTAATCACGGTACGAATCTCACAGTCAGTGGGAGAACTAATTGTCTTAAACATTTTGAATGTGCACAGCAAACTGAAAACACAACATAGAGCAACCAAAATGGCGACAATTGAAATTCAGTGAACAAGAAAGACTAGTGCGCATGCGTGGGACGCCTACCACAGCGCTGCGACGGCACTAGAATGAAACGGTACTTAGTTTCCGAATACGCTACGTAGTAATAACTTTAGCTACCAGTATGTAACAGTGTCTACAAAGACATATGGGTGTGCCAATATTGCCATAGACTGTGATTTGTAGATTGGCTATAGATTAGTAAATTATCTACATCAGTAAGTTTGCAGTCCTTTAAAAAGTCTGCTTCTCATTTTAGTCCTACAGTCCTGCAAAGAAAACTCTCACTTTGCTCTTTTATTATGAAAGGTTATTGTGATGTCTTTTTAGAATTGTTGAGTTGAAGGAATGGAACACTGCGGCAACAGATAATTCTGATTATTATGGATGTTCAGTGATGATTTTTGTTTTATGTCAGTTTGGAAGATTGTGGGAGACAACACAGACTTTTGGATGATATTGCTGCTATTTGATAGCATCATACAGCTTAGAATCTTGGTTCGACTCCCCTTAATATACACAGTTGATTGCATCAGATTAAGCATCTCTCTATCAGAAGAAAAGTTAAGTTGTGGTATTTGTAACAAGCATAATGATGATGCACTAGTATTGTTATATATTGTTAGCCCAGATGGGCTATTAATTTCGTTTGGCATTTCGCGTCAAAAACTTTAAAAGTCTGAATCACTTTTCAAATTGTTCCCACCAAATATTATCCCCCTATATTATATTTAAAGAAATTAAATAATGAAGAATCTGCATAAATATACGTATGTTTCTCGCATTGTGATAAAACAACAGTACCTAGAGCCATCAACTTTTAAATAATGTATGTCTCTACTTGAATATGAGCATAATCTAGTTCATATTTTGTAAAGAATTTATGAGTTTTTGATTAAAAAACTCAACGATTTAAAAGCAAGCAATGACAACACTTAAAATGTTCAATAAAATGCCCCTTTGTGCATAATATAAAATCTGAAAGCTTTCAGATTTTTTTTAAGATGTTATTTCCTGTTTTCCTGTTTTGTTACTATGCTTTCGATGTATACTAAATAGCATTTTTCTGATATGATACTGAGAGATGATACACAGCTAACATTAGCAGAGAATATCTGCAAAGGGTTGAGGTGTTTTCTTGGCCAGCTCAATATTTAGATCTGTCATGTACTGTGGATCATTATTGTCCAGTTAACGAATGTATTAATTGAATCTTAATGAATGTTGGAAATCTTCAAAATGAAGATATATTTTTGACATTAGTGACTATCACACACTTGGCAATGCCTAAGGACAAATATTGAGAACATACAAAGTGTGTGTTATGTCTTTCCATTTTTTTAAGACATCAGCATGTAGTGGAATAAATATGAAATTAATGTCCAGACATCCTACTGAATTGAACTCAATTAAATTTCTTCTACTTAATACAGAGATTGGTATGATACACAGCTCTGTAAACTGATGTCTTTTGTAGACTATGTTCCAAAGCTAGTGTAGCAAACATGTTGCTAGATAGTGCATAAATGATTGTTCTGCAATGAAGTACATAATATATGTTATTGGAATATTTTCTATTAATTGTAATGGTTTAAGTGTTTATTGGAGTTATCAATAAGATTTGTTATTAAAAATAAAAAATTTTGAAAGCATGTATATTGTTTTTACTCGTAAATTGCAGAGTTTATTATGAAGGCAAAAATAAATATGTGCTACAAGATTGATAAAATTTACAGTTTGCCAGGTCCTAGATGATTAATGCTATGGTTGCCTAATATAATATAATGTAAAGAGTTGTAAAAAAAAATGAGAATATTTCGTTGTTAAAACTTCAGAATTAAGATTATTTATTTAGAGCTTACTTGGCTCTTTTTTGATAGATTTCTTGTATTTTCAAGCATTTCTTCAGAGAATTATATATATTTTTTTCTGTTCACTAGTGTGCATCTAAATAAGAGAACAGCAAAACTGATAGAACTGATTCCAGTAACTTTATATTTTATTTATTATGTTTAATTTAATAACTGTCGCTTAAATAAATTTTGCATTTATATATGCATTAGTGTTGAATGACCAGTAATTAATGCATAATGGGCATTACCCTTTGGTAAACCTTTTAGTAAAAATGCCTTAGTTGCATTTAATAAGTAAATGTTTAGTCACATTTATTGAGACTAGAGGATCTAAATGTGATTTGTTTTGGTTTCTACTTGCAATAAAATATCCCCCAAAACATGTACTGAACTGGAATCTCTCTAAAATTTAGAAGTCAAACAGTGTAAATGGAAGTTTTGAATTTTGAAATCACTATAATAATGCGTTTTAATAGAGTATGAAAAATTAGTTTTATGCACTGTTCAAAATATTTCTAATGTTTCATCTTTTTCGTAAGTAACTCAGTGTTCATTTTGATATTTGAAATTGATTTATTTTATTCATCTTTATTGCACCATATATAAAATATAAAAATTATTTTAGTTAATTTTCAATATTTGGAATTCTTAATGTTGTTATATTTTAAAATCCTAGCATTAATCATGTATCCTTTTTAAATATAGAGTTAATTGTTGGCATTTTTAATACTGTACCGAAATTACTATAAAAATTTTGATATCAGAAAATTTTGATTTTTAGAAGGTGTTTGATGAGAAAAGG